ATTTTAAATTAATATGTAGGTGAAGAAACATCACAGAATCAAAGTTTATATGTTTTTTTTATAATTTTATATATATAAAAATTTACAAGCAAAATAGTGTAACAAATCATGCGACTGATAGTATATATCCAGATATATAAATCTGGATAGAGATATTAACTCTAGTTAGAACAATACAAGAGTAGAATCACTATCCAAAAAATCTTAAATATTACATGATATAGATCATTATATCATAATTGTTTTATATCATTATATTTGCTATTTCTAATAATGACAATATTAAATATCTGCTATGCTTGCGCTTAGTATATATATTTATTTTAATTAGTATTACATAAATTTTTTTTATTTCAAAATTATAAAGTGTGATTATTGTAAGTTTGACAAACCAAATAAAGCTTTTGAAAGCCTAATAACTAATAAATACAAAAATGCTAATATATATACTAATCCAAAAACATGTATGAATTATCGTAAGCAAATTTTACAAATAATAAATTAAAAAGGATTGAGCAAAAAATAAATCCATAACAGCAAATCAAGAAAATGCAATAGTACTAGAGGATTTTGTAGATTTTATTTTCAATGCACTTCTAGCAAATTATGACTTTGATGAATAACTATTTGAAAAGAGATTTTTTATAATTCTAGAGCCATTATTAAACTATGTTGATACAAATTCAGATAACCAAGTAAATAAGGAAGTTGTGCAATATATAATTAATCTTATTTCAAAAGCAGATAGATTTTCTTAGATTTACTATAAATATAATTTATTGAAAAATTCTATTTTATTCATTTATTATTGCAACTGTTATAAATTAAAAAATAAAAAGCAGGAGTTGCTAATATTTTAAGTTAACATAATACAATGCCAAGAATTATTTGATATACTTGTAGTAATACAATTTAAATAATATAGAACTAGGCAGTAGTTAATATCTATCATTATCTTTATTTACCATCTAAAGCAATAAAAGTTTTTTTACAAATCTGTAATTATATTATTAATAATAATCTATTAACAGTACTGCAGCTTTATAATAATATTAAAGATAAAAAAATTGAGGATTTTTGCATATTACATAGCAACAAGTTTACTATTGGTTTAAAAAATTTGCCACTAATGAATACAAACTAGCAGATAATTAATTAGAATTAGCTCAAAAATATTTAGAGAATAATTTATATTTTAAACTTCTTTACCAAGATCAATATTCAATAGCTTTTTTAACACTATTGCTATTTGTATTGCTAAATAAAGCTACAAAAACTAATATTGTCGATTCTACTTATGGACCAAATCATTTAAAGTTTGAATTATTTGCAGTTTTTGGTATCATAGATAGTGCTAGATTTCTATTCTCATATTTTTTTCTTGAACCAAAACATCCATATAGTAAAACACAAACAATTACAAAATAGTTCTAAAGTTTAAAAGGAAATGGAATTCAAAATACTGAAACTATTCTAATGTATAAAGATCATAAACAAATTACGGCTGCTAACAAAATTTGGACTGAGGTATGAATTCAATTATATTACTGGCATATAATACATACAATTAAAAAAGAACTTTCAAGTACCGGCATTATACACAATTATTATAATGTATACGAGGCACATTTACTTTGTTCAACTATTAATTCTACATGGCAACTAGTTAATCAAAACCAAGCATTTACAGATTTTACAAATCAAGAACATATACATGTTAATGATGATAATAAAAAACAAGTTTTTTGCCAAAAAGGCTTTTGTAAACCAATTCTTCAAATAGTTCATATTCATTTTTTATAGCATTCAATTACACCAATAAAGAATTCACCAAATTTTTTAAATATAAACCAAATTTGAATTGAAGTATTAAAGAACAATATGAATATTGTTACAAAAATAATTTAAAACATGTTTGGAGTTATTTGTGGTTATAATAGTAACATCCTAAAATATGAAAGTACTAGACACAAATAGCAAATTCCAAACTTAATATCTTACAAAGTACAATGGCTATTGAAAGCTATTGGCAAGTCTTAAAATATGATTTCTTTTCAAAATTTAATTATGCACAACTTGATTTAATTATTTATATTATCATTATGAAGGTTATACTATATCAAATTGATCAGTTACAGTTATTTCGTAATAATCAGTATATACCTAAGTAGCAAGAAAATTTTTGACTTGAATGGAAAAAATTAGCTACTAGAACAGCCAACTCTAATTCTACTTATATTACTAACTTTTTATACTAAATTTGTTTATGCTATAGTTTTTTTTTAAGTTGCTTTCATATATACAAACAGCTAATACAAATTTATAATCCTATTGAACCAAGATTTTTTAGAAAGGTATTGTAAAAGATCATTTGCTATTTTATCTAATTAAAATCAATATATACCACATTATATTTTGTTTATTTAAAGTAATATGTCAAGAATACTATCTCTTATTAGCAGTCAAAGAAGAAAATACTTTTAATAGCTTGCTCAAAGATATTCATACCTTAATTAAAAATTTAAATTCCTATACCAATACTTGTAAACTAATTATCTCTAGTCTACAAGACAATAATCAAGTTTATAGACAATCTAGTCTACAAAATGGTAATCAAGTTGATGAACAAGAATCTGTTATAATTAGTTCAAATGAATACTCAATAGATATTGTGAATGATAATCAAGATTTAATCTTGTATAAAGCCTGAAAAAAAGAAATTTTTAATTTGTAAGATGAGACTAAAAATATTCTTAAAAAAAATATGGCAAATCCAAACAAATAGCTCAATAGTATAGAGAAAACTTTGAACTGTTATGAAAATTAGTAGACAAAATTATATTTCAAATACTTGGAAATATCGTAATAATAATACTTTCTGGTTGTAATATCAAAGTATGTTTTATTTTAGTTAACTCTAAATAAATAATTTCATATTGTTGCTATTCTAATCATTTATTATTATAGCTTTGTATTTTATATAAATATTTTCTATTATAATTTAATACATGAAAATATTTTGTAAGTATATTATAGTAGCAATATATAATTAATTTATTATGGATACTATATACCTTTAACATAAAAATTAGAAGTTTTGAATATAAACACAATACTAGCAAATTCAAAAGAGAATATTAAGATATTTATAGTTTAGTTTTAGGTTTAATATATTCTTCAATTAATTCACTATATTTCCAGCACAATTACAATTGTTATTGATACTCATATAATTATAAAACTTCTAAACTATTCAAAAAGAACATTAATAAATTGAGCTAATTATAAGAAATAATTGTATTTTTTAAATTAACTTGGAAAATATTAATAGCCAATAATAATAATATTGATATAATGCACTGTATTATTTTGGAAACTTTGAAATATTTTCTAGACATAAAAAATGATATGGTTTTATTTTAATTAATTTGTTCTATATTATTAAGTTATATATTATCCATCACGTGATATTTGTAATTTTTTGGGTAGTGATTTACTATATAGGCAGACTTTCTCGTGATTGGTTGATCACACAAATTGAATATCATGCCATGATTGGTCGCTTTGCAGATCAT